GATGAAGCGAGAACTGAGACAACTAGAGAGACGGTGGCGTCGCGCTCAGCTTTGCAGCTGAGATTGCATCTGCGAGCTCACGCCCGGCCCAATTATTTAGCACGATTCGGACCTTAACAGACCTGCCATAGGGCAGGCGAAATGTTAGGGAATTGGACATTGGCTGTGACACTTTTGCGAGCGATTTCGCAGATAAAGTCCTGACGCTCCGCCGTGATCTCCCCACCATGATTGAGACAGTGAGCGAACTCGAGGCCCCTTGTGAGTCTTCGGTACTGGGTTTAGAGTGCTTTAGCCCACTCAGCCTGGATGAAGAGGAGTCATTGCATAATTTCCTTTTTTCTTTTTCTGCCTTTTCCTTCCCTCAACTTTCTTTTCTTGAGAGGGTGGGGTTTCGGGGCATCGACACAGTCGACACTGGGAACTGCTCCCGGCTAAGACCAATTATTTGTTCTTTTTAGGGGGGTTTCAAAAGATTCCAAACCCCACTGGACCTCCTGGAGGGAGGTCTGGAGCAAGGGACTTGATTTGGGCCCCCCGCTTGAGGCAACAAGCGGGTGGAAGCCCTGGTACGTCCCAGAAGCAGGGAACGGAGAAGAGCAGTTATGGTAGCCATAACAGCACCAGATGTAAACACCCCCAAAGCAAGAAAGTTATTTTAAGCCTCATCCAAAACATCAATGAAGACACGCACCATAAGTACCTGTAACAGCAAAATTGAAGAATCTTATGCTTTCTTCGAATAAGCCCCTTTAAATCTCCAAAACGATACAGAAAGAAGAGGTGGAATCCCCCCCCCTTTTCTGAGCGAAGCAGCCGGGACGAGATAAGAGTCATGAAAAGAATGTTGAGATAAACATTTTCTGGGGCAAAGAGGGTCTCTTGTTTGAGCTTCTCAAGAGAACTATAACCTTTCTTCTTAAAAAGAAAGAAAGAAAGAAAGAAAGAAATACAGAATGAGAATCACCATCTTGCGACAATCCTTCGTGATGTCATGCTTTACTGCTGATGACAGAATAGAAGCACACTCTGTTTAGTCTTTACCATAAAGCTGTGGAACACTTGGCTTGTGTGAGGGACTGTTACTGCTGAGGGGAGTATTATCTGGCAGAGGCAGGCAGCTTGAAAGAGACAGCTGATAAGCAACCTGTAGAGACACTGGGCTTTGCTAGACTGAACTGAGACTCTTGTCATTGTATTGAAATGAGTGATCAGCACCCTCAGAAAAACATGCCAGATGATACAGACATGGAGAGCTCCGTAGAATCTGATAAGCTTCAAATATCTTGGGAGGAGATCCGGGCTGTGATTATTGACTCAGTGAACCAGGCAGTCAAGGAGGCTTTTGAATGGATATTAGATCATAAAACTTTCAGCATTAAATCAAATCACTGGCAAGAACCCCCAGCACCAAACTGTGCAAGAAGCAGAACAACTCTACAATCAAGCTGAGCCAAACTATAGTGAAAAGGAACTACAGTGCTCAACTGTGCAAGATGCAGGGCAATACTATAATCAAGAGGAACTAATCTATGGTGAGAATGAAGCTGACTTCAGCAGTGAGAATAATAGCTCTACTAAAGGACTGCCAAATTCTGGAACCCTTAAAATTGCGAGGAGGAAAATATACCAGAGAAAAGATGAAACAAACCTAAACATTAAATATAGATGGCAAACCATGAAAGAAAGACTTTCCACATACAAGAAGAAGAGGCATAGATCCAAGACTTTACTAAAAAGAAGAAATTATAAAAAGGAAAAAAAAATAAGATATAGGACCAACTTTGGGATTTTGTTATAAGATTGGTTTAGAGAATCCCTATTTATGTTGGACTGGTTAAGATGTGCTAGAATATATATATAAAAAATTAGCCCACATTTAAAATACTTATGGGAAGATGAAAACTCGTCTATTAAATAGTCTAACCAAAAAGAGTATGAATTGTATAAGAAAAAATCCGGTCTAGGGAATATCCATGAATGTTTATTAGAATAAGATTTTTCAAGGTTGATAATTGATAATTACATAGATAGAATGTAAATTTATGGAGGTGTTAAGGTTTAAATTTTTTATAAAAGATGTAATGCATTTAATTTTGGCTTAAGGATTCCAGAAGTCTTGACAACTTGTACAAAAAGCATTAAAACATCTTATTATGATGTAGGGGAATGAAATTTAAACGTATTTTGTAGAAGACTATTGTAGAATGCTTAGACAAAAAGGTAATGTAGAAAATATGTTAACCTATTGAGCTGTAGAACGTAAAGATAGCTGTATAGAAAAATAGCAGTGGAATGATTAGATATTGCTTAAATAGTAAACATATTATGGTAGCAAGAATGGCATTTAGAGATATATATGTATGACGTAGTTTAAAGGGTATAGTGTTACTAGTATTACTCTCATATCTCTTTGTATGTTTGTCATGTTTTGTTTAAAAATAATAAAAATATTTTAAAAAAACAACAAACCTTTCTTTTCCACAGCCTCCATCTTTTCCCCTCATTTTTCTGTCTTTTTCTGGAGAAGAGGATGTGTGGCTTGCAGCAGGGATCGTTGTATGTAGGCTGCACTTTTGCTGCCAGTCAGACCCTTGCTGGGGTGTCATATGTCTGCTGCATGGGGTGCTTTGCCAGGCTGCTTGTGGCAATTTCAAGCGTATTTGGCAGTTTCGAGAGGGCTTCCCCCCCTTCTTTGCTAGAGTTGCTTTGTGTCCCTTCTGTGGTTTTTACAGTTATTTTAATTTAAATTAAAAAAATTAATTTAAAATTAAATTAAGAGTTTAAAATTGGTTATTTTAATTGGGTAATAGAATCTGCAATTCCATTTCATTGCCAAGGATGCTTTGTAAAGAGGCGGTAAACTTTCAGTTAAGAGATATATGAAGATGTTTTAAATCTCATGTACTTTCTATTCCCATAATAGTTATATTAGGAATGATTTGATTTTAACAACACCTGGATCTTAAAGCATTTGATGAACTGGAATGGGCTTTTGTTTTAAATTCCTGGGGGAAAATTACTTTCTCTATATAATTATATCAATTTACACTCATTGAGGATAGCCCAGATTACACACCAGGATAGCCCAGATTAACCCAATCTTGTCAGATCTCAGAAGTTAGGCAAGGATGGCCCTGGCTAGTATTTGGATGGGAAACTTCCAAGGAATACCAAGAGCATGACATGGGGGCAGGCAATGGCAAACTGCATCTGAATGTGTCTTGCCTAGAAAACTCTATGGGGTCGTTATAAGCCAGCTGTGATTTGATCGCACTTTCAACAATCACACTCATTGAAGGGCAGTTTTACAAACAAATAATTTAATATCTCCTATGTTTCTTCTTTTTATTTTGTCTTTTGTTTGCCATCTGCATAGAATCTCTAGTTGTAGTGGTGGTTAGATCAAGGTTAACTGATACTTGATTAGTTGATAATCCTGCAAGTCCAGCTGAAGATAATCACTCAAATTTATGGACAGAGATGTTTAAGATTTGGTCCTCAGTACCATCATCTTGATTTGGAAGACTGGTCAATTAAAAATGATAGTACGACTGAAGATTTTATTTTTGTTTGAAAATGTACTAACAACAATAATTACTAAAACTATTTGAAGACTAGCAAAAGAATTTTCTAAATTTATTTAGTCAAGAAACTAAGGATTAAGATAACTATTATAACATAATAGAAAGAGGAAAAAGGACTGCTTTGTCCAAATCTTTAAAGATATTTTCAAATATTGAATATATGGTTTTAGAGTTAATAAATACTTTTAGTTTAAGGCAACTGTTCTTGCTGTGTTTCTCTCCCTCTGGAGACCTGAGTTCCTTAGCCAGACTCCACCCACCCATAGAAAAGAACCCTAATGGGGTTGGGGATCCCTGCTAGGAGTCTGGACCCTTAAAAGTTCCCTACAGTGACCCAATTGGGTTTTCAAGGCAAGAGATCAAAAGAGGTGGCTTGCCATTGCTTGCCTCCACGTAGCGATCCTGGACTTCCTTGGAGGTCTCTCATGAAAGCACTAATCAGGGTTGACACTGCTTAGCTTCCAAGATCTAATGAGATCAGGCTAGCCTGGGCCCTCCAGGTCAGGGCAAGTGTCTTAATATCATGCAATAATTTAAGAAAATGAATAGCCTTGGAGCATTTTCAGACATGAAATGACACATGGATTGGCAATGAGTGTACTAGACTTATAGATGTAATGACCAATGTTATCTCCTGAGAGAATCAGATGGAGGAAAATGTTAATTCAAACTGGTTTCAATATTTTTGACTGTGAAGTTTGACTGTGAAGATTTAAAGTGATTAGAGCACCAACCGCGTATTAACCTGACAAAATCTGAAATGCTAATACATACAAGGAAGTAAGTCAAAGGTCTTTTGTCATCTCTTTACCAATGTTTGTTAAAGGACAACCCTAACAGACCAAATAAAATGGGGAAAGATGTTTAGTTGTATAATAACTGAAGGGTTTATATTAATATGCAGAAACATTTTAATGAAATATATATTTGAATGAATCAGAATTATATGACAAGCCAACTTGTATGTTGGAAATGTAGTACAATTTTTAGATCTATGTAGTGGTTTTGTCTATTTATAGAGATATTTTGGCAGGAAGTTTTGTTGGGGATTATATATGCAAGTGGTTATGAGATATTAAGAGACCAAAAACCATTGCTTCTTGGTCAGTTGGAGAATCAGTAACATTTGACCATAAAAATATGTTTCTGAATTCTTAGCAGCAGCTAAAATGCTTACTGCCAACATTTGTCAAATGGCTAAAAACTAAATAAAGTTTTAAAATTGACAGACCTTGTACATTTTTGAAATGGCAGACAATTGAAACCTACCTTTCATAAATGTTGGTAAACCCTCAGATTGTATGCAGCAAAAATATGGATTATTGATTTTTATACTGTTCTGCATTTAAGTAAGCAATTTGTTACATAGATAACATTGTAGAAGGGATCTCTTGAAAGATATATAGATATGGATCAATAGATGGATGAATCTTGTAGATTTTCATAGGTTTTTAAGAGCTTAACCACTGTAGAAATTCTGTAAGCTAAATATTTGCATTTTTTCTTTTTTAAAAATTAAAAACAGAAACAGAAAAACCAGTCAAATTTCTGTTGCTCTCAGTCTGAGCCAAGGAACCTTATACACTGCAACAGTGTGTAAGGAATAATGATCTGCAGTAAATGCCTTTTTGATAGCCTTGGAGCATTTTCAGACATGAAATGAATCCTATCCGATTTATAGTATAAATCTTGACCAGAACCTATCTTGACCAGTAGGCTCACATTACAAATATGTATTTCCTTTTATCAGGATAATGACCAAGCATTAATTTAATAATAATTATAATGTAAGTAGAGCACAAGATAATTAAAGGTTTTTGATGTTTATTGTAAAAGCATTCGCAGGATGGTCTAGAAGACTCAAGGAGGACTAAAGCAGTTTCAGCCCAGTTTAAACATGTATTGAAAAGTTCCCTGAGGCCACATGAGTCAAAGCCAGGGACAGAATCCAGATGTTGCAGGACACCACCCCAAGCACACCTATCCTGAATTTATTCCAGGTAAACCCATATTGAATCAAGCTGTTAGACCTGATTCTTCCCCCTGCTCTGTGCTTTCTCTAATTACATCATCCTTCCTCAAGACTAGAGTGCTGCCACTGTCATATTGTGAAAGTAATTCGAGACCCAAGGGTCACAACTGTTAGCAAGAAGGAGCATTTGCTGTATGCTGTTCTGGTACTATAATAGCTCCCGAGTTTAAAAGAGAGGCTTTAGAGCAGCTTGCCTATCAACGTATCAGAAGCTCTAAAAGTTTCCACAAATAATTATTTTGGCAGAAGGGGAAGAAAGTTAAGGCCATCTAATAGCTACGGGATGGCATTTGAAAAAGCCAAGAGAATTCTGAGTGCCTGTCTTTCAGTCAAGACAGCTCAATTACTGGGGGGGGGGAGGGAAGTTAGGAGAGCTCCAGAGTGGAGAAATTTTGACTTTTAAAAATTCTCCTGCCCATGGCACTTTACAGGACGTGGATCAAAGCCTCAAAACACAGGCACTGGAGCTATGTTTTAAAACTGTGGAGATGGTTCAGGGCTGAAGTCAAGATAAGGAAGTGTGTATTTGTGAAGGGTCACGGTTTAAAGAGTTCAGGAATACAGCTTTCCTCTAGCAGGTTCACTCATTAAACCTGTGACACATAGAAAACTCAAACAACTTGTTTCAGCCTCCACCAATATCAAAAGAAGGGATACATGAAGCAAAGCAGGAAAACGCTTTTTACTTAATTTTGTAACAGAGGAAATACGCAGCTTGTCTGTCAGGCAAGGATAAGAAAAACTGTACACATAGACATTAGGGATGGGCACAAACGGCACTTTTGCAGTTCAGTTTGGTTTGTGGCTGAACCACAAATCGAACCATAAACCCACATGAACTGGGAGGTTGGTTCATGAACTGGCCCAGTTCGTATCAGTTTCTGAGCGATTTAAAGTTTAAACCCCTGCTTTCTGCTCCCCGCAAAAAGCTACAGGGAGCAGAAAGCAGTGGTTTAAATGGCCCCATTCTTTCTGCTTTTCATGGCTTTTTGAGGGGAGCAGAAAGAAGGGAGCCATTTAAACCAAAGAGCTGAGTGGCAGCCCCACCACTCAGATGTTTGGGTTAAATGGCTGGAAGCCATTTAAACCCCTGCTTTCCACTCCCCGCAAAAAGCTGTGGGGAGCACACTGCAGCAAGAAAATGGATCTCCATTTAACTGAAACAACTGAGCAGCAGGGAGCTCTCTCCCACTCAGTTGGTTTTCATGAAGACTTCACAAACTGCCACGGACTGCATCAAAATTTGTGAAAGTTCATGGCGGTTCTTCAGTTCATGAACATTGCTTTGTGAACCATGAACCAGCCAAAATTTGTGGTGAACTTTTTTGTCAGCTGGTTCATGCCTATCCCTAATAGACATTCTCTCTTCTATAAACCAGCAGTGTCAGGAATTGGGGATATGACATCATTTTTCCTGATACTCTTTATTAAGATTAAGTCCCCACCCTAGGGTTGCCAGCATCCAGGTGGCATCTGGATATCTCCCACTATTACAATAAATCTCCAAGATCAGTTGCCCTGGAGAAAACGGCTGCTTTGTAGAATGGACTTGATGGCATTATACCCTGAAGTGTCCCCCCCCCAACCCACCTCCTAGGCATCAACCCAAAATCTGCAGACATTTCCCAACCCAGACCTGGCAATCCTACTCCACTCCTTCTATGAAAGAAGCAGGAATCCTCCCAGTCATCCACCACAAGCTGCTGCTGCTGCACACAACTTCAATAGATACAAGCCCTTCCTGCCTTTGTGTCAGGTGACTCCCTGACCATATTGAGATTTTCACCATAAGGTCCAACACAGTAGTAAGTGTATTTATTTATTTATTTATTTATTTCATTTCATTTCTACCCCGCCCTCCTCGCACGCGGGCTCAGGGCGGCTTACACAGGCACAAAAGTGCGATAAAAATACAAGTTAAAACAATTAAGGCACAAGTGCAGTAAAAGTCAACAGTTAAAACAGTATAGGCAAAAATGCACATCTCACAGGATACATAAATGACTACAATACTTACTCCCTATTGCATATCCCAATGGGGTCAAAAAAGGGGGGGATGCCATGGGCCCCGATGTTTCATCTGGCCAGTCAGCCTGACGCGGCGGAACTGCTCTGCAGTCGCACGGTGGTGGTAGTGGCGGGGGGGGGTCCTACTCAAAAGCCTGGCGGAAGAGCT